GGAGCGCGATGACCGAGATGACCTACCACCCGACGCGGGACCCAACCAAACCGACGGCGAAGGACAACGACTGGCCGTTCGATGGCCCCAGCGCGTACCACGAGCTGATGACCGCCGTTCGGGCCTCCGGCAAGGAGTTTGTCGGGTTCCACGACTATACTACGTGCGGGGGTCAGGGATCGCGCCCGACAGCACGATCGCCTACAAGCACCGCGACCTGATGTCGATCCCGGCGCACCTGACGAGCTGGGACCAGGCCAACGGGGGCCAGCTGGCCAGCGCCGAGCTCACGGCGAGGCTGGTCCTGCAGATTCACGCGGCGGTCAAGAAGAACCCAAAGGCGCCAGACTTCGCAGGGGCGGCCCTCGCGATCACCAGCAGGTTGGACGCCGCCGGAGGCGTCACCGCCGGCGCCTTCGCAAAGTTCGTCGCGGAGGAGCAGCGCACGCACGCCTACGCGCTGAAGCAGCAGCGGCTCTTCGCCGAAGAGGAGGAGAAGAGGGCCGCCGCCAAGAAGGGGCCCAAGAAGTAATAGCACTTGCTCTCCTCGCTCGATGGCCGGGTGCGGCGCTCGCCCTTGTGGCGACGGGCCGGGCGTCGCGATCCCTGGCCCGGCGTCGCCTTTTCCTCTTCCTGTTCGTGCCGGGCGCGCTGGGTAAAGTTGGTCTGCCTCGCGGCAGGCACGCCGCCGGCGAGGACGTTGGCATCGCAGCGAGGTCTTGGTGGCCAAGGCGGTCGCCGGACTCAACGCCCTGCGCGAGTCCACAGCTGGCCGGGGTCTGGGGTTGCGCAGGCCCCGCCGCACCCCCGAGCACGAGTTGTCACCGTGCCAGTCCTCGATGCTCAGCAACATCGCCTCCGCGGTCAGCTCTTCGACCCGCCGATCGACGCCAGTGAGTTCGAGGGTGGGCCCCTGGCCAGCGTCCTGCGATCGCCAACCGTGCACGACGTGGAGGAGGGCGCCAGCTCCGTGCCCTACCGGGCAGACCGCCTCATGGCGCTCGAGGGGCGGACCCGCCCCCTCCGGGCGCGCGAGCTGGTGGGGGAGTTCGCGGGGCGGCGCCTCGACAAGCCCGACGAGAGCATCGTCCTTCCAGACGAGGAGCTGGAGAAGGTGGGGGAGCCGACTACGCCTCGCTGGGGCCCGAGTTTTCGACATCCAGGAGGGCGGCGCCGGGCGTTCATCCGACGGCTGGATCGCGTCGGGCTTGTCGCCTACCGCCTCGGGAAGAAGGGCCGCATCGGGGCTTTCTTCGTCGGCGAGAAAGACGGGAGCATCCACCGGTGCTTGACTGTCGAGGCGTCAACGAGCTGCGTCGCCGACCCCCGAAGTCGCGGCCGTCGACCCCCGGGGCCTTGGCGAACCTCAACCTGTCGAGGCAGTGGGCCGAGATCTGCGGCGAGGGCGGCGTCTGCGACGACGACTTCGATGTCTGTGGCTCGGGCATCGGCCTCAAGGACGGGTTCAACCAGTTCTCGGTGCCGAGCGCGGTCTCGTGGTTCGCGTTCGACGAGACGCTCGCCGCCGAGGAGGCTGGGGTCACCGAGGTCTTCGACGAGGACCTCGGCCGCGTCGTGGAGGTCAGCCCGTCGCAGGAGCTGCGCGCGTGCTTCGGCGGGCTGCCAATGGGGTGGAGCTGGGCGATGTTCTTCTGCCACTCGGGGCTCGAGTAGGCCGGCAAGCGCGCTCTGGCGCGATGCGGCCTGGGCGGCGAGCCGCTGGCCGATTGGCAGCCCTCTCCAGCCTTCGGCCCTCGCTGGGCCACCTTGGCGCCCTACGTCGACAACGGCGACATCATCGGCGGTTCCAAGGAGGCCTGCGCGCGCCTGCACGTCGCATTCCGCGACGAGCTACACGCCGTGGGCTTCGTCACGCACGAGGAGGTGGAGCCGGGGGCGGAGCAGCTCGAGCTCGTGGGCCGGATCGTTCACGGCCCGAGGCGTTCGCTCATGCCGAGGCCCAGGCGGATGTGGCGACTCTGGCACGCGCTGCGCGAGCTGGAGCACCTGGGCGGGGCCGCGCCTTCGCAAGTGCGATGGGCGGTGGGGCGCGTCGTCGACCACTTCAGCGTGCGTCGCGAGCTGCTCTGCGTGCTGCGCGCCCTGTACCGTTTCATCGGCGACGGCGCCGGCGACTGGAAGGCCTTCGACGGCGACGAGCTCGCCGAGCTGCGCACGGTGCGATCCCTCCTCCCGCTGGCCGCGTCGGACCTTGGCCGGCCCCATCGGGGACCGGGTCTACTGCTCGGATTCGAGCGGCGAAGGGTACGCCGTGCACGCCACGACCGCCACGCCACAGGAGTCCTGGGCGGCTGCCCAGTACCGCGAGCGGTGGCGCTTCCGGGAGCCCGATGCGTTCGCCGGCGACGGGCCTGAACCCAGAGTCTGTCGCGGCGCGCTGCCGCCAGGGGACCCTGCCCCGGGCTGCGCGGCAGGCCCATTCTCGGCCTGGGCTGGGCCTTCTGCCTCGGCGGGCGGACGCTCGCTGCCGCGCCCCGGACGCCCTGGTGGAGGTCCACGGCATGGCGCCAGCGCTGGGGCCAGAGTGGGACGACCCGCGCCGCTGGAAGCGCCTCGTGGCTGGCAGCTGGAAGGCGAAGGACAAGATCCATCTGCTGGAGGCCCGCGCCTCGCTCTTCGGGCTGTTCGACTAACCGCAGGAAGCAATTAAGGAACCCCCCGGGGTTATCGTTAGCACCGCGCCGTAATTAAATTATTATTTGGGGTGGTTTTAGCCGAGCGTTATCTTTAGCACCGCGCAAAACAAAAATAAATTAAATAATTCCAGCGCCATGGCCCTAAGGATTCCTAAGGATTCCTAAGGATGCCTAAGGAAGGTCTGAGGATTCCTAAGGAAGGTCGGTGTACACCGAAAAGCAGCAGCACCCCTCTCAGACAATCCTGGAAGAGCCCAGGGGGGACCTCTGAAGGAGCCCAGGGAGGGGGGCAAGGATTTCCTGGGATGCCAAGGAAAGAAGGTTGAAGGAGATGCTGAGGAGCCCAAGGCCATTCCATGGAGTCACTGATGCTAAACACTTCCACGGAGTCCTGGTCCCCCCTGGGCTCTAGTAGTAGTAATAGTAATAGTAATAGTAATAGTAATAATAATAGTAATAATGCTAATAATAGTAATAGTAATAGTAATAGTAATAGTAATAGTAATAGTAATAGTATAGTATTGGTAATAGTACTAGTAATAGTAATAGTAATATAATAGCAATACTAATACTGATAGTAATAGTAATAGTAATAGTAATAGTAATAGTAATAGTAATAGTACTAGTACTAGTAATAGTAATTGTAAGAGTAATAGTAATAGTAATAGAAATAGATATAGTAATAGTAATGGATATAGTAATAGCAGTAGTAATAGTAATAGAAATATTAATAGTAATAGTAATAGTAATAGTAATAGTAATAGTAATAGTAATAGTAATAGTAATAGTAATAGTAATAGTAAAGTAGTAATAGTAAACGTAGTAGTAATACTGATAGTAATAGTAATAGTAATAGTAATAGTAATAGAACTAGTAATAGTACTAGAAATAGAAATAGAAATAGTATATAGTAATAGTAATAGTATAGTAATAGTAATAGTAATAGTAATAGTAATAGTGATAGTAATAGTAATAGAGATAGTAATAGTAATAGTAATAGTTATAGTAGCAGTAATAGTAATAGTAATAGTAATAATAATAGTAACAGTAATAGTAATAGTAATAGTAGTAAGAATGGTAATAGTAATAGTAATAGTATTAGTAATAGTAATAGTAATAGTAATATATATAGATATAGTAATAGTAATAGTAATAGTAGTAGTAATAGAAATGGTAATAGTAATAGTAATAGATATATTAATAGTAATAGCTCGTACCCAGCGACTGCAGGTTCACACGCTCTCCTTACCGTCCACTACAAGTCTCCTTTTTCTGATTCTCCTCATCGCCCCTCTCCTAACAAATTCTTATTGATATCCGTATTGAAACATTAATTATTTTCGGCCATCCTGTGGGGTGGTCCATCCCAGGATAACGCGCCACCCCGCACCGCGGCGTTATCTTAGCACCGGTCACGCACGGAAAATAATTCCCCGCCCCCCGACCCCCTGTCAAGAGTGAGGGCAAGAGTACTAGGGAGGAGAATAATCATATACAAATTATAACCAAGCGGGAGGAACAGGCAAGACAGAAGTACGACTGAACACACGTCAATATGAATACGAATCTACAGAGTAATTCAATAACTGATCTCACACGACCGCCCAAGGAATCGAGAAGCTCAGGGGCCCCACTGCTGCCTTTCGGGAACCTCGAAAGCTGCGGACGCGAGAAGCCTGAGAATCCGTCTGCTACGAACGCAGACGAGTCTGCGTGCCGACGCAAGCAAACCGCCTGAAACACTCTCGCAATCTGGCTTCCGTGTGGTTCGGAAACAAACGCTTCGCCTGAGACATCCTCAAGAACTGCTCTGACACATCCTATGGGAAATCTTGTGGGTGAGTTCTATGGGGGGGTCCTATGAGGGAGTTCTATGGAGGAGTCCTATGGGGGAATCCCACGGGGGAGTCCTATGGGGGGGGGGTCCGATGGGGAAGGCCTATGGGGAAGTCCTAGGGGAGAGGTCCTATGGGGGAGTCCTGGGGGGGAGTCTTCTGAGTGAGTCCTATGGGGGCGTCCTACGGGGGGGGCCCCCCGCGGCGATGAAGCACACGCGTCGCTTGAGACATCCTCGCAATGTGGGCCCGCACTTCCCTCCCTCCCTCCCTCTCTCCGATCTTCTCAAAGACTGCGAGGTCCCAGGATAACGCCTCCAGGGTGCTGGATGCGTTATACTTTCGCCGGAGAGGGGGGGGGGGGGGGGGGGGGGGGGGGGGGGGGGGGGTGGGGGGAGGGCGAGTGGGGGGGGGGGGGGGGGGGGGGGGGGGGGGGTTTCTTAATTGCTTCCTGCGGTTATATAGAGGTATGGGTACCCCTGGGGCCCCTCCTCCGCGGAGCGCGGCGCGACCTTGTTGCGCACGATGCCGTACAGGATGTCCCGGAGCACCGTGGGCAGGTACGCCTGGTACAGGTTGCCCGCCGTGATCGGCAGGTCCTCCCTGCTCGGCGCGGGGCGCCCGCTCCCGAGGCTCGGCGCCTGCGAGGGGGGAGGAGGAGGAGGAGGAGGAGGAGGAGGAGGAGGAGGAGGAGGAGGAGGAGGAGGAGGAGGAGGAGGAGGAGGGAGAAGAGCAGGAAGGAAGAGGACGAGGAGGAGGAGGAGGAGGAGGAGGAGGAGGAGGAGGAGGAGGAGGAGGAAGAGGAGGAGGAGGAGGAGGAGGGGGGGGTCGGAGGAGGGCAAGACCGAGACAACGGCGGCCCTCTCTTTTGTGCATCGCTGAACAGGTCCCCCTCCCCACCAGCGGGGGGTTCCTAAACAGGGTTTTAGCTGAACGGGGGCTTAGGCGAAGGATTGCCAACAACAACGAAGGATTGCAAAAAAAAACTAGGATTGCAAAAAAACGAAGGATTGCAAACAAAACCTAGGAATGCAATCCTTTTTTCATATGCCCCCGCTTACTGTGCCCCCGTCTATGGCGCCCAGGGCCCCCTAAACGGGGGCATGGCCAGACGTAAGAATCGGCGTTCCCCGTGCCCCCGTTTGCTGTACCCCCGCCTCTGGCGCCCTGACACCAGCGTGGGCCGGGCTGGGCGGTTGATGCCCCTGATGGGGAGAGGGGCTGCTCTCTTCGGGCTCTGAGGGGCACATCCCCAACCGAGCCGGTCAGACGGTGGGGCTCGAGATGTGGGTGGGCATGGGGACAGGGATCGGTTCAGCGATACTGATCTGTGGTGGTTTCCTCACGCTCTTGACCTCCTGGAAGCTTCCGGTCGCCACGGCTGAATCTGCCGCGAAAGCCGGGCCAGGATGAACCACAGGAGGGGTCCGCGGGGCACGCGTTCGAGGGCGCGCCACTGAGGATCACATGCAGCATCATTCACACATGTTTGGTTTACTCTGGTCCTCGTCCTCCTCCTCCTCCTCCTCGTCCTCCACATCCTCCTGATCGTTTCCCAACCTCTCCCACTGCTCAACGCCCCCATCATCATCATCACAATCATCCAGCATCATCCAACGTCGTATTCCCTCGTGGTCCCTCCTCCTCTTCCCGCCTCCCTCCTATTCCTCCTGCGTCCCTCCGTCCCTCCCCATGGTTAGGGAACAAGTAATGACATCATAAAAGTTCGGAGATCCGCGCGGATTTCTCAGACTGGCGCTGAGGCCTCCCTGGCAGCTCCTTCGGCAACACCCCTGGCGCGCTCCGCGCGCCAGGGAGGGGGGTACAGCGCCGATCCCAGGAACCCGCCTTGACCCTCGAAAGATTAGATGTCTGTCATGGTTTGTCCCCCGAGTCTTCTCTCTCCCTCTTCCTCATCCTCCTCGTCCTTCTCCCTTTTCCCTCTCCTCGTCCATCCTCCTCCCTCGTCCTCCCCCTACCTCGTTCCCTCCTCCCTCGTCCTCCCTCCTCCCTCGTCCTCCCTCCTCCCTCGGCATCCCTCCTCCCTGTTCCCTTCTCCCTCCTCCTCCTCCTCCTCCTCGTTCCTCTCCCCCTCCTCTCTCCCTGCCCTCTGCCATGCCTCGGGCGCGCGCTGCCCGGTGCCCTGCCTGGTGTGGTGCGCATGCTGTGCTGCCTGCGTCCGGGCTGGTCTGCGATGCCCCGAGGTGGTCCAGACTCTCCGGCGCTGGCCTCGCCGAAAGAGCTGCACGACGAGCGAGCGCGCTGCTCGACGAGCGCGCTCCACTGCTCGCAGCGTAGCTGCTCGCACATGGCCCGAATCCGCCGCGGGCGGCTGTACGCTCCACCACATCGGGAGGCAGACCTGCTTTCTGTTCCGAACTGTTTGCGAGTGCAGTGCGGGCGCGGCCGCAAGAAACCCTCGCAAGAAGCCCGACCCTGAGAACCCGTGCGCGAGGTGCACCTGAGGGGAAACCCCGAGCACCCTGAGCGCAGCAGCTTCTTCAGCGGCTGCGGGAAGTCACCGCGCAGAGCGCGAGGAGCGAAGCAACCCAGGAGACCCCGACGAACAGCATATGGTTTCTTGGTGGGCGCCCACACTGTAGGCACTCTGTGCGCAGCGCGCTCGGTGAGGTGCCAAGAGGTCTCCTCGCGGGCATCCAGGGGGGCGGACCCTGCCAGGAGGGGCGGGCAGGCTGAGCGGCCGAAGGTAGGAGTCAGGAGAGGAGGAGGAGGAGAAGGAGGAGGAGGAGGAGGAAAAGGAGGTGGAGGGAAAGGAGGAGGGGCGGCGTGCCGATCGCCCGCGCGCGCGCGCCGCCGCGCGGCGCGCACCCCCCCCCCCCCACCCGCGCCTCCTCCTCGCGCGGTCGCCAGCCCCCTTTTCTCCCACCTGGCCCTCCTCCTGGTCCTCCTCCCTCCGCCCGCATCCTTCCTCCTCGCTCCTCGCCCTCCTCCCCCCTCCTGCTCCTCCCTCGTCCACCTCGCCCCTCAAGCCCTCCTGCCTCCTCCTGCTCCTCCTCCCTCCCCCCCCCACGACCAGTCCTGCTGCGCCTGTTCCTGCTGTCGCTTCTGCTGCTCCGCATTCTTCTCCCGATCCCACCATTATCATCATCGCCATCGTCGTTCGTCTCGCCCTCTTCTCTCCACCTACGTATTCCGCGTCCCTCCATATCCTCCTCCTACTCTTCCCCCTCCCCATCACCCACATGATCCTCAGCCCAGCCTCCTCACCTACATCCTCCGCCTCCTTACCCTCTCTCCTCCTCCTCCTCCTCCTCCTCCTCCTCCTCCTCCTCCTCCTCAGATTCCTCCTCCATCCCTGCATCCCTCCATACCTCCTCCTCCCTGTCTTTCGGCCCCTGGCCATCCCCCTCCTCTCCCGCCTCCATTCCTCTTCCTTCTAAATAGCTCCTCCTGGCGCACCCCCAAGTCGTGTCGGTATGGCGGGCCGCGCGTGTCGGCTGAGACCTCACCAGTTATGGTCGTAGAACTTAGAATTTGCAGCAAATCCACAAACGGAGGACGGGTCGCTTTCAATCTGTGGCTCTCGCCTCAACGCCGCGCACATTCTGCTTAAACGTTTGCAAGGGTGTCGCGGATGGGGGGCGGTACCTTTTCAACATGTGCATTTCGCCTTCGCGCCGCGCACATTCGCCTTATCATGTAAAAGGGTTCAGATGCTCTGGGCGTTACCTTTTCAAACTGCGGACCTCCCCTCAGCGACGCGCGCATTCGCTTTCATAAAGATACAGCAAGTTGAAACACTATGATGGTTGGTTTCCGACAATTGGTGCTTTCGCACGATTTAAAACTGTAAGACTGCCAGGACGCAAGAATCAAGTGATTTCCATTGATGCAGCCCCAAGGCTGGTGAAGTGACACGATTCAGGACCGTCAATACACAGTACTAACAGTGATTCGCAGCGTTGGTGTCTCAGGAATGGTGTTCTGGCACAGTTTAGGTTTTTCAGGCGGTTGCCTTCTAACGGTGCACTTCCCTCAACGAACATGATTGTACAGGCCTGTGAAGAGAGAACTTGGAGGGATGGCTAATTGCAATATCGTGCTCTCCTCCTCCTCGTCGTCCTCCTCCTCCTCCCCTCCCCCTTCTCCTCCTCCCCTCCACCTTCTCCTCCTCCTCCTCCTCCTCCTCCTCCCTCCTCCTCCTCCTCCTCCTCCTCCTCCTCCTCCTCCTCCTCCTCCTCCTCCTCCTCCTCCTCTGGCGTCGCCGCCACTCCCCCCTCCCCCTCCATGGACTTCCGGAAGCGGTAGTTGGTGATGGGCAGAGTGGTCGTGCAGAACACGGTGCCCGTCAGAGCACCTGCCACTCCAAGCGGGGAGTCGTCGGGGCCGGGGGAATGGGAGAGAATTTTGGGGACGAGGAGGAAGACGATGGAGAGAGGAGGGCAAGGGGGCAGAAAATCAGCCTGGCGAAGGCTCCAACCATATACAGTTGTGGGTACCGCAAGTGTGAGCATCTTCTTCGGTGGCGATCCCTTTGGGGCCACGAACCGCATGAGGGGTGTTCCGAATTGCGTGGCGGGGTACACAACACGAACGAAGCCGATAAGTCGAACTACAAGAGACTGAGCGCGAGTTGGTCTGAGTGCGAATGCGTCTGAGGGTGAATGAATACGCGTGCGAATGACGATGATTGCATGAATGCGACCACGGCTGTGCCTGGTGTGCGAAAGGGACAGCAGGGATTCGGTCGCTGTCCGCATGAATGCGACCTGGGAAAAGGGACCCAAGGACCGTCAGAACTCAACCGAGCAAGAAAAAAAACGCCCGAGGGACCGTCAGCACTCAACCGAGTACGGAAAGAAACTCCCCTAGGGATGCTGTCGGCACCACCGGGAACCACCGAAAACCTGGCATTGAAAGAATCACGACGTCGGGACCCTGAAACCTTCGGTAAAGCTCCCTGCATGGTTGTGGGGCCACTAAGCGTGTGAGGGGTGTGCCGAAATGGGTGGCAGTGGCACTGGAACCTTCGGTGGAACTCCACTGTGAGGCCACGAAACGTGTGAGGAGTGTGGCTGCGCGATTTCGGCCTCCGGGAAGGGAAGGGGGAAGGCACTCCAAGAAACCAAGGACCGTCAAAACTCGAACTTGACTTCGATCAAGGCCACGACGACGCGTGAGGACTGTGCTCAAATCCGTGGCGAGGACGCAATTGGAACTCGCCACCGGGGCCTGGGGGCCACGAAACGTGTGAGCAGTGTGCCGAATTGGGTGTGGAGGACGCATTCGGGCGGTGGCACTGGACCGTCGGGTGGAGCTCCCTATGGAGCCACAGCACATGCGAGAAGTATGCTGGAATGGGTGTGCGTGACGCATGCTGGCGGTGGTACTGGGGCCTTCGGTGGAACTCCTTATGGGACCACGAAACATGTGAGTGGTGTGTCGTAATGCGTGGCGGTGGCCCATGCGGACGCAACCACTGGGGTCTTCGGTGGGGTTTCCTCTGGGGCCACGAGCCGTGTGGACGGTCTGCCGTAGTGGGTGGCGGTGACGCATCTGGACGCACCCACTGGGGCCTTCGGTGGACCTCCCTCTGGGGCCACGAGCCGTGTGAAATGTGTGCCGTAATGGGTGGCGGTCACGCATGCGGACGCAACCACTAGAGCCTTCGGTGAGGCTCCTTGTGGGGCCACGAACCGTGTGAGGGGTGTGCCGTAATGGGTGTCGGTCACGCATGCGGACGCAACCACTAGGGCCTTCGGTAAGGCTCCCTATGGGGCCACGAACCGTGTGAGGGGTGTGCCGAGCTGGGTGGCGGTGACGCATGCGGACACAGCCAGTAGGGCCGTCAAGGGAGCTCCCTATGGGGCCACGAACCGTGTGAACGGTGTGCCATGATGGGTGGCGCTGACACATGCAGACGCAGCCACTGGGGCTTTCGGTGAGCTTCGTATGAGGCATGAACCGTGTGAATGGTGTGCCGTAATGGGTGGCGGTGACGCATGCAACCGCACCCACTGGGGCCTTCGGTGGACCTCCCTCTGGGGCCACCAAACGTGTGAGGGGTGTGCCGTACTGGGTGGCGGTGGCGCATGAAGACGAAACCACTGGAACCTTCCGTGGGCCTCCCTAAGGGGCAACGAACCGTGTGAGGGGTGTGCCGTAATGCGTGGTGATGACGCATTCGAACGCACCCACTAGGGCCATTGGTGCGGTCTCCCCTGGGGCCACGAACCGTGTGAGGGTGTGCGTAATGGGTGACGGTGACGCATGCAACCGCACCCACTGGGGCCTTCGGTGGAGTCCCTATGGTGCCACGAACCGCGTGAGGGGTGTGCCGTAATGTGTGGCGGTGACGCATGCGGACGCACCCAATGGGGCCTTCGGTGGACCTCCTTGTGGGGCCACGAACCGTGTGAGGGGTGTGCCGAGCTGGGTGGCGGTGACGCATGCGGACGCAACCACTGGGGCCTTCGGTGGAACAAAATAAAAACAACAAGAAATTAAATAAAAAAAAAAGAAAGTTATCGAGAAGAACCGACCTAAAAGGACCCCGGGTGCGCTCAGCATGCATACCACCCAAACAAGCCATCATACCCTGGGAGAACCAAAAGCCGACACCTCCCCAAAACCAAGAACATAGCAACCTAATGGGGCCACGGACCGTGTGAAGGGTGTGCCGTAATGTGTGGCGGTGATACATCCGGACGCACCCACTGGGGCCTTCGGTGGAGCTCCATATGGGCCACGAGCCGTGTGAGGGGTGTGCCGAAATGGGTGGCGGTGACGCACGCGAACGCAACCAGTGGGGCCTTCAGTGGAGCTCCATAGTGGGCCACGAACCGTGTGAGGGGTGTGCCGTAATGTGTGGCGGTGGCGCATGCAACCGCACCCACTGGGGCCTTCGATGGAACTCCCTATGGGGCCACAAACCGTGTGAGAGATGTGCCGTAATGGGTCGCGGTGACGCGTGCAACCGCACACACCTGGGCCTTCGTTGGGGCTCCTTGTGGGGCCACGAAACGTGTGAGGAGTGTGCCGTAATGGGTGGCGGTGACGCATGCAACTGCACCCATGGGGGCCTTCGGTGGAACACCCTATGGGGCCACGGACCGTGTGAAGGGTGTGCCGTCATGGGTGGCGGTGACGCATGCAACCGCACCCACTGGGGCCTTCGATGGAGCTCCCTACCGGGCCACGAACCGTGTGAGGGGTGTGCTGTAGTGGGTGGCGGTGACACACGCGAACGCAACCAGTGGGGCCTTCGGTGGAGCTCCCCATGGGGCCACGAACCGTGTGAACGGTGTGCCGTAATGTGTGGCGGTGACGCATGCAACCGCAACCACTGGGGCCTTCGGTGGAACACCCTATGGGGCCACGAACCGTGTGAGGGGTGTGCCGTAATGGGTGACGGTGACGCATGCAATCGCACCCACTGGGGCCTTCGGTGGAGCTCCCTATGGGGCCACGAGCCGTGTGAGGGTGTGCCGTGATGTGCGGCGGTGACGCATGCAACCGCACCCACTGGGGCCTGGGTCGAAGCTCTTCTGGGGCCACGAACCGTGTGAGGGGTGTGCCGTAATGGGTGGCGGTGACGCATGCAACCGCACCCACTGGTGCCTTCGGTGGAGCTCCCTATGGGGCCACGAACCGTGTGAAGGGTGTGCCGTAATGGGTGGCGGTGACGCACGCAACCGCACCCAATTGGATCTTCGGTGGAGGTCCCTACGGGGCCACGAACCGCGTGAGGGGTGTGCCGTAATGTGTGGCGGTGGCGCATGCAACCGGACCCACTGGGGCCTTCGGTGGAGTTCCCTCTGTGGCCACGAAACGTGTGAGGGGTGTGCCGTACTGGGTGGCGCTGACGCATGCAATCGCGCCCACTTGGGCCTTCGGTGGAGCTCCTTATGGGGCAACGAACCGTGTGAGGGGTGTGCCGAAATGGGTGGCGTGACGCATTCGAACGCACCCACTGGGGCCTTCGGTGGAGCTCCTTGTGGGGTCACGAAACGTGTGAGTGGTGTGCCGTAATGCGTGGTGGTGGCGC